TCACCCCCCTCACCCCTCCCCCGGCCCGTAACTAAAATGTTACGATTCAGCCACAAACTTTAACGATGAATACAGAGAGACTTTGACCCAAAAGTAACAGTAATAATATTTTAATTTATTCCAAGAGCACAATAATGTTCTAATTGGAATGTAAAAATGTCCAAGAACAAAGTCATTTCCTAACAATTTTAACCCTTTCACTTCCAGGCGTGCTGAATAACCCAAGTGAGTGGTTGGCGAGCACTCTGGTGTGATTTGCTCCTTCTTTTCTTTCAAACTTCTATCGTCATAACCTCCCCCTCCCCCCTCATCCCCTTCTTTTCTTTGTAAGTTACCCTCAAGTACCACTTCTAATCTTCTTTTCTTGTACGAGTTTTACGGAACTTGCAACACAATAAGGTCATATAAGTGCCGAAGATTAGAGGCGTTACAAGAGAGAAACAAATACAAAAAAGAAGGAGGGGAGATAGGGACGATATATTTTTTATAGGAAAGAAGGAGCAAACCACACCAGAGCACCCGCCAACCACCCACTTCTAATCTGCGGCACTTATACGACGTACAATTGTCTTGCAAGTACGGAAACACTCTTACTGGAACTAAGCTCGAAAACTAAAAACAATAATCCTAACAAAGAGTCTAAGAGAGTCACGAGTCTGGCAGCGAATGGGTTAAAGGACCCTGCAAGAATCCATAAAAAGGTTTTCATTAACTTATCACACATTGGATTAAAGGAACCACAAGAAGCCCGGATGTATCAGGATTGTAGACCTGCCCTGCCCATGGTCTATCTGTGGTCTATCTGTGGTCTATCTGTGTGTCTATTTGTGGTCTTTCTGTGGTCTATCTGTAGTCTATCTGTGGTCAATCTCTGGTCTATCTGTGTGTTTACCTGTAGTCTATTTGTGGTGTATCTCTGGTCTATCTCTGGTCTATCTGCGTGTCTATCTGTGGTCTATCTGTGGTCTATCTGTGGTCTATCTGAGGTTTATTTGTAGTCTATCTGTGATTTATCTGTAGTCTATCTATGGTTTTTCTGTGGTCTATCCGTAGACTATATGGTCGCTTTTCAGGACAAGCGGGCTATTCCAGATTTTGGGGATTTCCAGAAATCTTGACCTACACCAAAAGTGGGCATTTCCCTACTTATAGGAAAAATTTGGTTTCAATGGTGCGTATATTTGTTTGGTAATATAGAAAACTCTCGTTCTCTTAAAGAAACTGAATAAGGGGCAAAGAGTTTACCTTCGATTTTCTCAAAAAGCAGTTTTCGGGATAGCCCCCTTGTGCTTAAAAGCGACCATATGTGGCCTATCTGTGGTCTATCTGTGTTCTATCTGTAGTCTATCTGTGATCTATCTGTGATCTATCTGTGGTCTATCTGTGGTCTATCTGTGGTCTATCTGTAGTCTATCTGTGGTCTATCTGTGGTCTATCTGTAGTCTATCTGTGGTCTATATGTGGTCAATCTGTGGTCTATCTGTAGTCTATCTGTAGTCTATCTGTAGTCTATCTGTGGTCTATCTGTAGTCTATCTGTAGTGCACCTCTGGTCTATCTATGTTCTATCTGCTCTGGTCACAACTTACTCGACAGCGTTAGAGTCCAGGCTCTGCATCTGCGTGGAGTTGAAGCCACAGAGCAGGTTCCCGGTATTCCCCAACACACTGGCACTGATGGTGGACACGTCAGCGATGTTCTGAGTGGTCATGTATGACGTCATGATGTGGGCAGCCTGCGCGAGGAAAAGGTAGAACAGTCAGTTATTGATTGAGAAGTTGCCTTATGTTCTATTGCTAGCTGGCATTTACTTACAGATTAGCGCTTGGGGTTGTATTTTTTTTCGCTACTTTGTTTGTTTGTTTGATTGATTGTTTGCTTATTTGTATGTTTGCTTGTTTGTTTGTTTGTTTGCTGGTTTGTTTGCTTTTGGTTTGTAGTTGAAATGGATGACTTTTTATTGTTTCATATTGTGACTAGGCAGGAGACGGAGGGGGTGAGGAGGGGCGCATTTATGATTATCACAACCACCCCCCATTAGCATTACAACGACGACGACGACAGCTACAGCATCAACAACAACAACAACAACGACAACGACAACAACAACAACAGCAAAAACAACAACAAAAACGACAACAACAACTACAACAGCAACAACAACAACAGCAACAACTTCAACAACAAATAAAAACAATAGCAACAAAAACAACAATATCATCAACAACAACAACGCAAACAACAACAGTAACAAAAACAATGAACCACTACCACAGCAAAAAAAACAACAACACCACCAATACCAACACCACCCCACCACCACCACCACCACCAACACCACCAATAACAACAACAACAGCCAAGCCCGTACATTGTTGGTGAAGGTGTAGGTGCCGAGCGTGGACAGTGCGTCATCATCAATGACCGTCAGGTTCAGGATGTGTGTAGAGTTGAGAGCGTCCAGTAGGACCCCGGCGTCCAACACATTGTCCTTGGTCCATGTACTTGAGTCGCTGCCGAAGCTCTGAGGGGAAATAAGATAATGAATAAATAGATAAATAAATGAATAGATTAATAATAAATAGATAAATAAAAATAAATACATACATAAATACGTAGATACATAAATACATAAATAAACAAATAAATAAGTGACTAACTAAGTAAGTAGGTGAATGAATGAACGAATAAATGAATGAATGAATGAGTAAATAAACAAATAAATAAAATCAATCAATCAATCAATCAATCAATCAACCAATCAATCAATAAATAAAAAAATAAATAAACAACATTTAATTGATCACCGTAAGGGGTATTAGGGTTACAATAGCAAACATGCATACATAAATACATAATTATAAATACATAGGTCTACATAATTGAATGGCTTACATAAATACATACATAAATACATGTTAATTATTAACACATACATAGATACATACATAAAGACAAAATAACTCACAAAAACATAACCTGTTCACAAATATACCCTTGTAGGTCGTTATTGTGCAGCGCCCTATTTTTTTTTAAACCTGGGGTTGTCGTGTCTTGCTCAAGGACACTAGAGGTGGGCACAATCCGGATAATCTATAAGGATAACCGGATAATTCTCAATAAAACATTATCCGAATTCAGACTCTTAACTCTATTGCCTGACCCGTTTGCCGAAGTGGGTGCACCCATTTGCTGAAGTGATGCTAACCCGTTCGTCGAAGTGATTCTAACCCATTTTGCCGAAGCGGTTCGCATCATATTATTTGTCGAACAGGTGCATTAACATAATAATCCGGTTTTTGCTAAAGCGACTCATTGCCCAGCCCTAAAGGATACACTCCAGTGACCACCCATGTATACCCTGGGTCACCCACACTAATTGCTTGTCATTATTTTTTAGTCTGAACCCACTACTCACTGAGCCACTGGACCCC